TTATCAATGGATAGAAAATTTGGTGGACCATCCACTTAAGTTGACATAAGAATTGCTCGAACACATATGTTTCCCTTTGTTAATGAGAAAGAAATCAACATTATAGTACTAAATCAAAGGTTTTTATTTTCTGATAAATCAATTAATTCCCAGTCTTCTCGCCACCATGTCTCCCCTTTGTTAATTGAGAAAGAAATCAACATTGTAGTACTAAAAATCAAAGGTTTTTATTTTCTGATAAATCAATTAATTCCCAGTCTTCTCACCACAATCTCCTGGCAATTCAACCAATGGCTGTCAAGAAGAACAACCACACGCACACAAAAACATCACAACACTCTCATCACTCGTTCGTTCCTTCTTCATCCTCTTCTTCTTCTTCTTCTTCTTCGTCGTGAAACCTCAAGTGCTTCCCCTCCGGCACCGGCAGCCCCTTCAGCACCACCACGCCCGGCGACGCAGCGACAGTCTTCGCACCCTCCTCGTTAACAACCTCTTCTCCTTCGATCTCACCGTCGCTGTTGTAAACAAACCGAGTGTGTTTCCCTTCGAAAAACTCCTCCACCGTCATCTTGCTCAGCCCCTCGCATAAATCGTCATAACCTTCACCATCAAAATCTTCAGCTTCTTCTTCGTCTTCGTCTTCGTCTTGAATGCTGGCGTTAACCTGCGTAGACCAAGCTGAGGAGCTATCATATTCAGGGGATTTCTCAGTGCAGCTTCTGTTTTCACCGTATTGGTGTGAGAGGGATGAGGAGCTCGTGGAGTCGATGGTTGCTTCCGATTTCTCGGGGGAATCGAAGAGCAACGCTCTGTTGATCATGCATTCTGCCGGTTCCTCTGGCTTCACAGCCTCAGCAACCTGAAAAATCAAGGCCAAATTGAATATGAACCCCCCTCATTTATACTTTTAGTAGCACCCCTCAATGCCCAAGAGACATGGGTTATTATCCTTCTAAAAAATGTGAACCCAGAATCAGGGGCTTTCCCACAATTTACCCCTTACGTAAGAAATGTACCTGAATTGGCGCATTCTTGCTTGCGTTTTCTTCGACGACCGAGAGAACCAGGGGGGTATTGGCCGGAGTCGGAGCCAGAACCTGAACGGGTGACGGGCCCGGCAAGCCCAACAAGACCCGAAAAGGCGGCCTCTCGCCCGAGTAAACCTTGTTAACAAACTCGGCTTCTTCCTCGACCTTTTGAAGCAAGCTCTTCACTTGGCCCCTCAGCAGAGCTTCACCGGATCCGGGTGTGCTCTTCGCCCGCACCCGGTTCTTGATCACCGAAGAAGACGGCGTTTTCTCCGTGGTCGTGGCGAGGCCGATGATGGGCGAGTCGTTGGTGATGTCGATGAGCGCTGATCTTGTGACCGAGTCCTCTTTCTTGGTCTTTTCTGTAATTTAAAAAAAAAAAGAGTGAAAATTTGAAAACCCATGCTAAAGGTTTTGAGTGAGAATGGTGATGAGGGTTTTAAATTTGGGTTGTTGAAATCTTTTTTCTGTAGAAATTGAGGAACCCATGTCAAGGATTTGAGTGAGAATGACAATGGGGTTTTGGATTCTGAGTTGAGATTTCTTACGAGATGCAATGGAGGCCTGGGATCGTGTGACCCTTCTCATTGTTGATGATGGAGTTTCCATTGAAATTGGAATCTTGGAAGGAGGAGAGAGAAAAAAAATCAAGATGACAGAGAGAGAAATTGAGAATGGAGTGGGAAGAGAGGAAGAGGAGAATTGTGGGGTTTTAAAAGATTTGAAATGGGTGGAGATTGCAACGGTAATATGACCGTTTGGAGAAAACTAGCCGTTGTGGGTGCACAGCTCAAAGGAAATTTTCTTTTTTTTTATAGAAATAATATAAATATTTAGTGCATGTTTTTTTAATGTGGAGGCTTAGGGTCTTAGACCTCTGAGCGTTTTCCTTTATCGGAGCGAGGGAGTGCATTGGATGTATACCTAAGTTTATGGGTTTTATTAACGCCAAATATCATAAAACCCTGCTTAACATTAGACGGTTATAAAATAACCCCCGATAACTTTTAAAATATCAGAAAATCCCTCTTAAGTTTAGGGGTTATCAAAAAAACTCTTTCAGTTTTAAGATTTTATTAAAAAAGAATCTTGATACACAGTGGTGGATTCAGGATTTTTGGAAACTAGTGTTGTTAAGTAACTAATAGTTAGAAAATTGTTACAATTGCCCTGCCAATGAGTTTTTATATTTTAAAAGAAAGTACATAATCACATTTATTAGTAAAATTGAGTTTGGCTATTTCTCGAATAACCCCCTCAACTTTCAAATTACACAAAAACTCTCCTTTAATTTTTTGGAGTTCTTAGAAAGCCCCTTTCAACTTTTAACTTTCAACATCTTTTCACAAAAAGCCTTAACAACGGTAACTGTAATTTTCACGTAGGTGAATAAAATTCTGTAGAGAGATATTTTTACTAGAAATCGTGGTTCATACTTTTAGGAGACTTATAAAACAAAAATTGATAGTTGAAAACAAATTTCTGGGAATCACAAAAGTTAAGAGAAGATCTGTAACATTTTAAAAGCTAAGAAGAATTATCTGAGAAACCCCCCGAACATAATTGGTCCTCCTTCACCAAAGTGGGTGGATCCGCCCTTGCCCATAAAAGCATGAACCACAATTTCACTGGAAAAAAGTACATTCTATTATGTGAAAATATTATGGTTGATGTCGTTTAGGGGGGTTTTTTATAAAATCATAAAGTTTAGTGGTGTTTCTGATATTTCGAACGTTGAGAGGTAATCTAATAATCATCCAAATGTAAAGGGGGTGTTTCTGATATTTAGTCTTTAATTAATTTGGATCCAGTAGCTTCATGATTTGTTTGTAGATCTCTAAAACCTTGTGATCAGAGAGAGGTAAATAGTTTTTGGATCACGAGGTGTTCAATGCATAAAAACCCACCATGTAGTTTCTCACATGCTTGCTATCTCCTTTGTTAATTCCATACCGAGTTTGCTTTTAAGGATTCTAAGTTTATTTCCAATAGAATTGATCTTTTGTATCAACTTGACTTCATTTTTAGAATTTACAAAAGGACAAATTTTTAAAAAAGACCTTTTTTTAATATTAATAAGCAAAATCGACCGCTTACAATTTTATTCAGCAAAATCGACCGCACGGGACTGCTAGTCCCGTGCAGTTCTCCCAAAACCCCCAAAAACACCCGAACTCCTCTCTCCCCCTCAGTCCCTCTCCTCCCTCCTCCGCCCTCTCCCAAAAACACCCGAACTCCTCAAAAGCCACACCTCCTCTCTCCCCCTCTCAGTCCCTCTCCCTCTCCTCGTTGGCGGTCAATTCCATCTAAGAGCAGACCGATCTCTTCGTTGGCCTCGGCCTTGAGTTTCTTGACGGTGTCGGGTGAGAGGTGGAAGAAGCAGTGGGATCGAGCGGCGGGATCGACGGACACCCGCTTGATGAACTCCGCGGGGCCTTTGAACGGCATGCAGATCGGAGGCGGTCACGAGCCGAGGAACCAGCGGTCGACGACGGCTACACTACAATCGCCCCCGACGTCGACGTTCACGGCAGGGCCGCGCGAAAACTTGGACCGTTTGGGAGAGAGGAGAGGGCGGAGGAGGGAGGAGAGGGAGAGGGACTGAGGGGGAGAGAGGAGTTCGGGTGTTTTGGGGGGTTTTGGGAGAACTGCACGGGACTAGCAGTCCCGTGCGGTCGATTTTGCTGAATAAAATTGTAAGCGGTCGATTTTGCTTATTAATATTAAAAAAATGTCTTTTTTTAAAATTTGTCCTTTACAAAAATAATACGTTAAAGGTTCAAATATGTTTTTTTAGCCTCTGGGTTTTATGGATGCGGCCTAAACTGGCTCAAAACTTTCAAATGGGCTGTATTAATGGGCCTAGAAAGGCTCCAAACTGGTACATAATAGTTACGTAGAGCCTTGCGTAATAGACCTTAAAAAGGCTTTTAATAGTTATAAAGGCCATAAGCCCTCGAACAAAAATTTCACTCTTACCTCCATTCATACTAATCCTAAAACTCGCTCCCATATCTAACTTAATCCAACAAAAACTTTGTTCCGATCAATACTCAAGTACACAAAAAAAAAAAAAAAAATTCATGAACTCTATCTCTTGACTCCGATATCTTGAAACAGTGTTTTTGATGAGTTTGTAACAGTTCACTCGCGGTGGATCTAGAAAAATTTTCCTTGGAGGGGCGGATGACTAACATCAATTTAACAAAAAATAAAATTGTACTATTACAAAATAATAAAATATATAAGTATTAGCTTTGGCTTTGGGTTTTTAGTTGCTAATAGGCTAAATTTAAATGGGGTTAGCTCAGTTGAGCTTATTATTTGAAAATTAAAATGTGCTACTAACTACCAAGTGTCAAATGAGCTAGGTGCAAATGGTTTAATTTGTGTCATGTAAGTTAAAATTGGCTTGGGGGTGCAATTTTTTAAATTGTAGGGATGCATATATAATGTAAATTTTAAAGGCCTATAAATGATGATTTTAAGAATGGCGGTGCAACTACACCCCTGGTTATGATGCTATAACAAGACATGTCAAAATTTACATGAACAACTAGTAGTAGTAGAACCTATATATTTGTTGTAGACTCATGATTTTCCTAAATAGTTCTTTTATCAATAGTACACTCAACAAGAAAACTAAAAAATAGTAAATACATCAGAAATAAACGCATCAGAAACTATTATCAACGATAACGTGTCGTTGACATGACATAAATATATCAGAAGGTATAGAGGATTATCTCAGCTTCCTCTAGAAATATTTTGAGGAAAGTCCAATCAATATCCTTCATGTGAACACCAACAGTTCGGCATATTTTTTTCCTCGCTACGGTAATCCCTGTTTTAACTGTCACAGTATTTTTTAAAACTTTTTGAATTGCTACAGTATCCCACACCTGTTGTAGTATTTCTGTGCGCTACAGTAATATTTTTTTTCTAAAAAATTTATAGTATCCGGTTTCATATTTGCTACTGTAATAATACTATAGTAAATATTATTGTGGTATTTATTGTACCGTGAATAATAAATCTTGATTTCTCCCATTTATATATAGAAGAGTAGATTACAACAACTTATAGCACTCTCGCGCAAAACTTTGCAACGGGCCAATATATATATATAATCTAGTTGATATGATGATCCCTTGAATAGCGGGCGTAGTTGGGTCGGGTCGCTATCACTTTGATGCGACTTACCGAAGCTGACCGAGCTGACCGCGGGCGGCAACCCGTATGCCAATCATAAAGCAATCGAGTGCGAAAATCATCAGAATTCTTACCATTTCTTTTGACCAAACGGGAGATGATATTTTTTCTTTGCTTTTTTTCTTTTTCCTAAATTTATTTGTTTACTCCTCTGAACTATTAGCATAGGAGTTGCATAATATCACCCCCGTGAATCTCGCTAATGTGATATAACATTATATACACCTAATGTGACGGATATTTTTTTTTTTGTGTTTTCTCGTTAACAGACGGGGGCTCTTCGTGAGCACCTCGGACATCATACGTACGAGGGAGAGCTCGAGTTTGAGCCCTCGCTCGCAGTATTAGGAAGATGCAAGTACTCTTTAAAAGAAAATCTGAAAGATAGGATCGTTACCGTAAATCCATCTCAATTCTAAAAGAAATTTTGAGAAGACGTTCGTACTTAGAAACTATCTAGTGAGAACAATTCATGACACTTAATGTGCATCAAATGAATATCGATTATTAGATCTATGCACGAATCTCTATGTCCAGCGATCTATGCGGTATTATTTGATATTCTCTTGTGCCTAGAACAGTTTAGCAGGAAGCATGCTGACCCAATTAACCATCCTGATGGATCCTGCCGGTCGATGATGTTACGGAATTGCATATGCAATTTCTAAGGATCTAAGGATGAAGGTTGCATTCAACCCCTCCACCAAAATACATTGCCCAAAGTTTAGAAATTAATTAACGTGTGATGAAATACTCTTTGCCAGTGTCTCGGTCTCCTTTCAAAACGTCTCGAAACCTTGGCATTTACTGGCTTCTGGTTATGACAAGTACAACATGCGCATTATTGGCACAAATTAGCTTTATTCTCATGATATGGATGAGCCTCTTAATTCCCTCCTTATCCAACACTAGTAAATTTGTCAGGTATATACCTGTCATTTTTATCAAGCGCTAGAGAGAGAGAGAGAGAGATTATATATTGTGATTGTGGTGAAATTCACAAGGCCTAATAGAGAGAGAAACGTCACTTCTTCAAAAAGTGGTCCATTACCCTCGTAGCTCATGCTATTGAGGAGAATACACAACAGAGAAACAGGTTGATAAGATTTGACGAGTCAAGGACAGAGAAAGAGAGAGTATGTGTGTGTCAATATTATACGAATATCAGAATATGACTCAAGTTTGCTGACACCTGCCATTTACAGCGACAGCTAATAAGGCATATATGTTTAAAAATAAAAAATTTTAAGTTACTAATCATGATACAGTAATAATTTTTTTTATACGTACGGTATATTTCAGAATATTTAAATTAGGACAAATTTTTGAAATCAGCCATTTTGAGAGTTTAATCAGCAAAATCGACCTAATTAGGAAAAAAAAATAGCAAAATCGTCCGCACGTACGTCGTGAGAGAACGATCGATTTTGCTAAAATATAATTTCTGCGATACACCGGACTACTAGTCCCGTGTAATTTAAAGCCTTAATTAAACGGTCAAATTATACGGGACTAGTAGTCTCGTCCATTTTCCATTTCCTTGGTACGGGTAACGATGGATTAGCATGTCCTATAATTAAAAAAATCCCTTCAGCAAAATCGATCGTTTTCTGCCCGCGAGAGCTAAAAATAGTCAATTTTGCTCATTTTTAAGGGAGAATGTCATTTTTGCTGATCAAATTATCAAAATGGTTGTTTTTAAAAATTCTCCTTTAAATTACTGTTATAACATAGTATATTCATCAGCCTTTGTCATACTGTTCGAGCAGTAATTATTTTTCCCATGAACATTGTCCATATATAGTATACTTTTTTTTAATTTAAACACGCTCTGCAAGCTACAGTGAATTATATGGCACTTCATTCATCGTTCAATCTGTAATAACATTTTTAACCTCGAAAATACTATTCACATTTTTTTCTATCCTTGCAAATAACGAAATTAACTTTTATCGGACATTTTATAAATATACATTTTTTTGGCTCTATTATAGAAAATTAATAATAGTTGCTAATTAATGTATTATTTTGTTAGCTGATTTAAAAATTCACTTTGTAAATAGTAGTAAAAAATTACCGCTGAAGTTTTAAATGGTTATATTTAAAAAGAAAAAACGGATATAGCTCAGTAAATAATACCCACAACAATATGCAGACTTAATACTAGCGTGTGTAGAGAGAGGTTATCATGGAGTAATAATTCTTAAATAATTCGAGACCAGCCCATTTCTTTAAATAAAAGCTCTCTCTCTCTCTCTCTCTCTCTCTCTCTCTCTTCTCTTTACCTGTGACTTTGTGTGTCAGCAAGAAAGAACTATATATGTCCTGTAGCAGATGCATGTAGCTACTTCTTCCCTTTTATCAATTGCATTGGCTTCCACGCTCTCTCACAGTTAGAATGGGGGAAAAAAAACCCTCAACCCTTTCTTTTTTTTTTCTTTATTAGTTTGTTTCGCTTCAACATTTGAGGAAAATGGAGCTTGAAAACCCACCTCCACGTCACGAAATCAGGAAAACCCAATTCGGATTATTTAGCTCTGAAATTGTTGGAAATCAGTTAATTATCATTAAAATAGTGGACCACTTTGGAATATTGCGTTTACATGCACGCGGGAAATTAACAATTAGTGCTCACAAACTACTTTTCCAATGTCGCTTCCAAACTAAGCAAGCACAAGAAAGTGAGATAACACATTTGATAAGCATTTAATTTACCATCAACCCATCTCAAACATTGACTAAGGGTGAACCAAACCTTAAAAAAAACATTTCCTAAGTAAAGGAAACCATGAAAACCACTGAAAATTGGTTCTTGTTTGAAAGTTGTTTTCATGTTATTTTGGTAAACCAATCAAGCAACACCTAAATATGCACGTGTGTCTGTGTGTGGGGAGGGAAATGATGGGTATATGAGGTGACGGCTCATTTTGTTAAATGACCGATTAAGAGATAGAATGGTGATGTTCATATCTTTTGATGTGACTAGCAAGGTGAGCGTCATCATATCGCTACCTCTTCTTGTTGGATTATTTATCAAAATGAGTCGTCATCTCATATCCATTATTTTCCGTGTACATAGTAGTCTAACTCAACTCTCTTTCCGTAGATATTAATATTGTGTGCTATGTTCGTTCTTGCGTATGTTTTTCTAAGAGATCGAATATCCGTTCTCCATTCAAGATCAAGAGAAAAATCAGCTCCCTCTTTCTCTTTTGCTCTTCCAGTTGATCACTGCCTTATCGCTGGAACTTTGTATGAAAACCATTAAACATCCCTAGAGCAAAACAAACTTAGTCCCCATGATAACAGATGGAAAGGAAGAGAAAGGGAAGATCAAAGGGAGTATGGGTATGGATATAACTTTGTGAGCATCAAATTAAACAATAGAAAGTGTTAGGCATTAAGGAGTAAGGATCTCCCCTCAGTAAAAGAGTTCTCTTATTATAATTGTTATAGGCTCTTACAAAGTGAGATGACTGAATGTAAAACTTTCCCATTCTCATAGACTAACAATTAAGAACATCTAGAAGAGGAAATATCATGTACTAGAAAAAACATAAGGAAGGCTAGAGCCAACAAACCAATCATCTAATTATAATTATAATACATAATTACCTATACTAAATTAATTTGTCATACTAAATTTTTCTTTTCCCGCTGTAGGAGAACTACAAAGAAAGCACGTGCGCAAGCAAGAGATCTTTCTCTCTCTCTCTCTCTCTCTCTCTTTAACGCACACATTTCATATACACACCTTGAGCATATATAGACTTTGAGATCGAAACTTTGGATAATAAGCTTTTAGAAACACTACATCAATCTCTCATTTTTCTAGCTTTCTCCCTCAATGGTCTCCTTGTCTTTCTCTCTTTTCCTTTATACTTTCTTCAAGGATGCACTCATATTGGTCTTCTTTCTCGTTGGCCTTGTGATGCTTATAAAATAGGATCAATGTGATCTTCCCAATGTAAACTCTAGATTGGGCTTCTTCGTCGTTGTTTCGAATATGCATGAAGAATTTGGATCAGATATCATCTCAACGCTTTTTGAACGCATTCCTTTCTGCAAAATATTATACATGCTAATTAGAGGTTATAGTTATCTTGAAAAGCATAATGTTAATTACTTTGTGTATATATGGTTGGTTCTATATTCGGTGGTGTTTGTAGCAAAACCATGTAAGAAATTCAATGCACTCATAGTGTTTGGACTGATGTAATTGTTGCATAATTAGTCAAAAAAGATGTAACTCGTTGAAATATAATTTGCAATCAATCATGTTCTAGGTTTCAAGTGGGATAACTCCTCATTAATGTTGTTATCAAGAGAATGTCCAAGAAATTGCCAATGAGGAGCATCTCCAAGTGGTCATGTTTTGTGCTGATCACCAAAGGATAGATAATTCGATCTTGAAGCGCCAATTTTCTAGTATATATGGTCATAAGGACATAACAATGATTTCCTTGTAAAAAATTGGTGAAACTCTACTAGCAATAATGATGTTGAGAATGTGTTAATAGATGCTTGTTTTTTAAATTTATAAAAATTTTCATCTTGTGCTCCATAAGATGTGACCAACATCGATCGATCTTTAATTATACCTCAAAAGTTTGTAGGCTCGCAAGACTAGAATCAATTGGCTTGTCATCAAACCAGGTTGCCCTGCTGCAGAATCAAAACATGGAGGAATATTTCCATCAGTGGGAGTCCATGATGCAAGAAAGAGTAAAGAGCACATTGTGGGCAAAGAAAAGCTATCTTTCATTATTAGCTTGTTGGTTGAGAATTTGCTTAGTAAATTTTATGATCATATTGTATATATGACTGTATTAAAGTTGAGCACCCATGTGATTGCCCATTAGGCCATTGCCCATTAAGGAGAGAAATTGCAGAGAATTTTCAAAAGCCTAAGCTTTTGCACCAAGTAATACAAGCTAATGAATGGGGGACCTTGCTCTATATATAAAGCCTTCGGTGCCCACAAAATTCAAAAGTTAAAGAGTAAGTGTACCCTTTCTCATTGGATTTGATTTTCTTTTTCTTTTCTTTTCTTTTTTTCCTTTTCTTTTTTCTTGTAAAAGGGTCATGTGTTTTCTTGAAGTTGGAGTTGATAGGCTTACTTGGTCTTTTTAACTAACACAAAGTATCCTTGCATCACAATGGAAAGAGATTCAAATGCGCTCATGATCATGGACAGGCAGAACAAAGCTATTATCTCTAACTGCTTTTTGTGACCACTTATATATGGAGATGTATAATAATAATATGTAAGATACATAAGGGAAGAAGAGGGGCACTTTATGATTATTGATGATCTAGCAATCTAAGGATCTTTGTGAGCAACTATATATTTCACATAGTACAGAAGATTATGACTTGTATAGCAAACTATATATTCTTCATGGCGAGCTAATTTTTGTGGATAACTCTCTTAGCTTTGTTTAAAGAATGGTTCACTGCTTGTTGTTTGAAGTGTTATAGAGAAAATAGGTAGAAAATAGCATGACAAATTAAGTTTGATAATTAATCCAATATCATGGGCGCGTCACTATGCATGTACATGATGCCCATGATATTTGAATTAATGTAAATAAGAGTAAAACTTCACCTACCTAACATTAATTAATCAGTCCTTCACAATAACTAGTGTTCATATTGGAAAAATTGGCTCCAGAATATTGACTAAAATAAAAATAAAATGCAACAATTTCTACCTAGATAAATTGCTCCATACTCCATAATGGCCATCTCCTGATGACTTCCCATTTTCGACTGAAGGCTCGGGTCCACGAATATCGAGCAAATTATCATCTGACATCTCTGTAGTTGGGTCGCTTTGGCCTAACATATATATAGAAAAATATTTAGAAAATAAAAATAAAACATTAGTTATACCTAATTTAGATTTAGAAAAGATTATATATGCAATATATATTTCTGCATTACCTGAAGGAGTTGGTGGTCTATCAGTAGTCTTCACAGTCCTATACATCTGCAATTATGCACATTGATGTAAATTAATAATGCAATATGCGTATATAGATAGAATTCTCAACAGATAGACTATAAAATACTTAGTTTACTTTACTAATAAACCAAGGTCATGTGTTGTTTATGAGTAATTGAATTTTATATATATATTTTTTTTTTTTGAGCATCTGGTTTTGAATGCATGCATGTAGGTATTGAATGACCTAGCTTCTGGTTACAGCATTTCTCATTTATTGAACATTTTATGAATGCATTTATGCTAATATCAGCTACCCTTATGTAGCTCCAAGAGAGCAATAATTGACATATGATGGCATGCACATTGTACTGCAAATTGTTATTTTCTTGAGAACTGGTGTGTACTTCATTATTGAAGCATGATTTCTCACTGTATTTTACCTTTTTCCTCTTTTGCCTTTAATTACTAGCTAGCATGCTTTTCTTCTTCTCAAATTAAAGGTGCTACAAGAACACTCAACTCTCTCTCCCTCTAGGGCATAGCAGGTATAGTGCTAGGTTTTTTTTTTGGTTAGATACAGAACCTCTAAGTTAGAGAGAGACCAATAGCTGATGAGATTTATAATGATAATAGTATTATAGCTAGGAATGTAGAATGCCTGCTCAGAGAGTAATAGGAGAAAAAAGATCACCTAAAATTTCCAGTCTTCTTCTTTGAAGAGAAATTTTCAAAACTATAAACTAGCAAAAACAAAAAGACAAAACCCGAACCCTTATCACTCAAAGTTTATTCTTTTTAAAAATTAAAAAAAGTACTTTTTTTTTATATTTTTCTAGATTGTATATATGGGAGTTCAAGTTGATCAAGGAAGTAAAACAAATATTCTAACTAGAACAAAAAAGAGCTAGAAACAAAAACTAAATCACTACTACAATATCAAGAACAACACCCACTAATTAATTTCAAATGAAAAAAATGATAATTTAAAACTAACCCAAATCAAATCATCATTTTACCTGCAAGTGTGATTTCACGTGAGCCAAGGTAAGATCCTTCACGTCCATTAACTCAAGCACTGATTTAGGTGTAGCCCCTAACAAAACCAACGAACAAAATTTAACCCCGGCCCCCAACTTTTCTTTTTTTTTCTTTAAACCCCAGAAGGGAAAAAAAAATCAAAATATATATCCCGCATACTCTCATGGCCTCCTAGGAGCTCGACAGCATGAACGAACCGGGCGTGGAGGGTCGTAGTCCACCGCATCCTCGGCGCTCGTGCGCTCCTCTTAGCCGGAAATCTTGACGGGAGCCTTGACCTCTGAGCTCCAAGAGGCTCGCACTGATGGTACGGAGCCTGGTGACGATGATGATGAGGGGCAGCGTGGTGATATATAGGGATGCCTTTGATGGGCTTCGTCATGGGCCCAAGATCATGGTTGTCGTAGCTGCAGTATCGGTTTGAGAGGGAGAGGAGGTTGAAGAAGCAGGGGTCGGTTGGGGTGTGATTAGGGCTGCTGTTGGGCCTGTTGGAGTTGGGCCAGAAGCGGAGATCGACGGGATCATGGTGATCAGTAGGGTTTGTGGGGTTTGGGGGGCTGATTTGAAGGGAGAGGTCAACTGGTTGATGAGGTGGGAAGAGCTTCATTCTTGGTTCGTGCTAATTAATTAATTTCTTGCTTCTTGTTGTTGATGATGGCGTTGGTGTGGTGCTTGTTGGAGTTAAAAGAGGTCTTGATGATTATGTAAGGGATGGATATGAGTAGTAGAAGTATTGGAAGGAAGAGAGAGAGAGAGAGAGAGAGAGAGAGAGAGAGAGGGAAGAATGAAGGGATTAATTGTTTGGTGTGTGTGAAGGTAGTAAGGCTCTTGCTCCTTGCTTCTTTGTAGGGGGTATGTGTAGAAAATGACACTTGAGTGGGTCCTAGAGAAAATATGAGAGAGAGACTTCAAGCAAGGTATCAATTGCATAAGGGTCTGTTTGGTTGTATGTTTTTACCATGTAAAAGGATGGAAAGTGTTAAAAAGTGAGTCCCAATGTCAGCTTTTATCACTTTCAATTGTTTATTTGTAGTTGTGAAAATAGTGTAAAGTGATTTCATATGCTGATGTGGCTTGTAAAATGATTTCATAAAAAAAGACATGATTTTAGGAGAAAGTGAACATTGAAATCAGGAAAAAATAATAAAAAATAATTCCAACCAATATGATCATTTGTGTAGGGATCACTTTTTACACTTTCCAAACAAACAATTAAAGTTACATTTGCAAACCAAACAAGCAATTTATGATTCCAATGGAATCAAAAACAAAGAAAGAAAAGTATTTAAGTAAAAGAGTGCTGCTACGGGGACCCAAAATATGGCACCAATTGAGGGGACATGTGAGGTGTCCCCTTCCTATTGCATAATGAGTTGACATGAGTTGGCATGACCAACTCATTATGCAATAGGGAGGGGACACCTCACATGTCCCCTCCTTTAGTCCCATATTTTGGGTCCTTAAGGGGCCGTTTGGTTTAAGTTTTTTGCCTAGGTTTTTGGGCAGAAAGCCTGCCAAAGTGTCACTTTTGGCAGGCTTTCTGCCCAAAACGCCTCTAAAAGTGGCGTTTTGAGCAGAAAGCCTGCCAAAAGTGACACTTTGGCAGGCTTTCTGCCCAAGAACCTAGGCAAAAAACTTGAACCAAACGGGTCCTAAATCATTTTCCATTGAGTAAAATGAAAGTTTCTTACTTCTTGCAGCTTTTCAAAAAAAATGGTGAATTTATCTAGTAATTAATATTGTCAACTAGATAGCTAGTGTTGTAAAAGAAAATTTCCTTTTTTTAATTAAATGCAAAATATGGAGGGTTTTTTTTTTTTTTTTTTTTAAAAATTTCCTTTTTTTAATTAAATGCAAAATATGGAGGGTTTTTTTTTTTTTTTTGCTTACATTTATTCAAAGAGTTGTTCCAACTCCAGTGTATCAGTTGTTTATAGATGAGATATCCGGGATACATTTTAGAGAAATTTGTGGGCTAGAGAAAAAACAGCTTGATATTTTTCATTAATTATCTTTTAGGAGAAAAAGAGATTTCAAGTGGAAGGCATAGGTCTTTAATTAACAACAAAGGTTAGAACTAATTACTCTTTTGTTGTGTTTCAAAAAAAAAATTCTAAGCTAGCGGTGTGTGTTTATCATATATAAGGGTCTGTTTGGTTGTTTTCCGAAAAAAATCAAAAATGGAAAACTCAGTTTTCAAATGATTTCAATAGCTTTCATGACATTTTCCACTTTTTTTTTTGTTTCGCAAAGAAATCACCCCACTTCACCGACAAGGCACACAAAAAACAAAAAATTAAAGGCGCAATAGTAACGGTGCTTTTAGTTTTTCATTTTTTGTGTTTGTTTGAACAAAAA